AAGCACCGGTTCTTACCCGACCAGATCCCTCTCGGCAATTCACGCTCGAGGTGGATGCATCGGATACAGGTGTGGGTGCCGTCCTATCCCAGGTTTCTCCCTCAGACCACCGTCTCCACCCCTGTGCTTTTTTTTCCCGGCGCCTCTCCCCAGCCGAGAGAAACTATGATGTGGGGGACCGGGAGCTCCTGGCCATGAAACTCGCCCTGGAGGAGTGGAGGCACTGGTTGGAGGGAGCTGAGCACCCCATCATCATATGGACAGACCACAAAAACCTAGCCTATTTGAAGGAGGCAAAGAGGTTGAATCCCAGACAGTCTAGGTGGTCCTTGTTCTTTTCACGGTTCCATTTTGTCCTCTCTTACAGACCAGGCACTAAGAACATCAAACCGGACGCCCTATCCCGACAGTTTTCGGCTGACTCCAATCCAGAACCAGCATCCATTCTCCCTCCTGACTGTGTCATTGGGTCTGTAACCTGGGAGGTCCGAGACCAAGTACTTGAGGCCCTCAAGACCACTCCGGGCCCAAGCAAGGTACCCCCAAACACATTATTTGTTCCCCCTTCGGTCAGAAGCAAGGTAATCCACTGGGGGCATACAGCTAGGTTTTCTGTCCATCCTGGGGTTAGTCGTACGGTAGCATTGATCAGACGGACCTTTTGGTGGCCAACTATGTTTAAGGACACTAAGGAGTACATTGCCGCCTGCCAGACCTGTGCCCGCAATAAGACCAGTAATCAATCACCCTCTGGCTTACTCAACCCATTACACGTTCCGTCTAGACCATGGTCCCACATCGCCATGGATTTTGTAACTGGCCTGCCTCCTTCTCGTGGCTTCTCAGTAATCATGACAGTAGTTGACCGTTTTTCTAAGGCTTGCCATCTCATCCCCTTAAAGGCCCTCCCTTCAGCTGCAGAATCAGCTGCACTTTTGGTGAAACACGTTTTTAGGTTACATGGCATTCCATTCGAAATACTCTCTGATCGAGGTCCCCAGTTCATTTCTCGAGTCTGGAAGGATTTTGCCGCCTGTCTCGGGGCCAAGGTCGCCCTCACCTCCGGATTTCATCCTCAATCTAATGGCCAGTGTGAGAGGATGAATCAGGAACTAGGTGCCATGCTCCGTTGTTGATGATCCTCCAACCCCTCCCGCTGGAGTTTAGAACTACCCTGGATCGAATACGCCCATAACTCACATGTCTCCTCTTCTACCGGGTTGTCTCCTTTCGAGGTCTCCCTTGGTTTTCAGCCCTGCCTGTTCCCTTCTGAGTTTCCCTCCTCAGTCGTCTCCATTCCCCAGTTCCTCAGGAGTGCAAAACGTACCTGGTCAGCCACGCAGAAGGCCCTGCAAAGGACTGCTGACCGTAACCGGCGTTTAGCCGACCGTCACCGGAGGCCAGCTCCAGTCTATGTGCCTGGTCAGCGCGTCTGGCTGTCGACCCGGGATATTGCATTGAAGGGCCACTGCAAGAAATTGTCCCCCAAGTTCATCGGCCCCTTCACCATCTCCTCAATCATCAATCCCTCGTCTGTCCGTTTGGAGCTTCCCCCTCATATGAAGGTACATCCGGTTTTTCATGTTTCCCTCCTGAAGCCTGTCTCCTCCAGTCCCCTTTGCCCTCCTCCTGCTCCTCCTCCTCCGGTTCGGTTGGCTGATGGGGGTCTCGGTTTTCGGGTCCGGCGCCTCCTGGACGTTAGGCGTCGTGGCCGAGGTCTCCAGTATCTGGTGGAATGGGAGGGCTATGGGCCCGAGCACAGGCAATGGGTCCCGGGGTCCTGGATTGACGACCCCTCCCTCATTAGGGATTTTGAGGCTGCCCGGTCTGCCTCCTCCTCCGCCTCCTCCTCCTCTGCCAGGACGCCGGGTGGCGTCCCTTGAGGGGGGGGTACTGTCACGGTCTGGGGTTTTTTCACACACTAATTGGTGTAGAGTCTCATCTCTCCTCTGCAGGTGGGCGTGCCTGGAAGTTGGGAGGCTGCAGGTAATCTGCTGATTAGCTGGCCAGGGATATTTAAGCTCCTGAGAGACGCCTTCACTTTGCTGGATGATTAACTCAACTTGGGTATTTCTCCTAACAGCCAAATCCAAACTAAGCTTTGATTTTGAGAATTTCTGGGTTATGGATTTTTGATTTTTGAGATCTCTGTGTTTTTGACTGCTTGTTTTGCCTCCTGCAGATATCACCTATCAGTTCACCTCGTTTGCTGCTACCAACCTGGTTTCTTCACTGTCCACTCGTCTCTCAGCGTCCTCCTCTGGTCTTCCCACTCCAGGCTGCCCACCCTCCCTCCTGAATCACCATTACCCTTCATGCTCAGCTCCCTCCTCATTTGGACTCCAAGCTCATCAGCCTCCAGTAAGCCTCCTGCCCTCCCCAGACCGGTCACTCCTCCCTCTCTCACGAGCTCTCACCTCCAACCTGTAAGTTCCATCAGATCCAACATTCAGATTTCCGAGTGCCAGACCTAACTCTCCCTGTTCCTCCAGGATTCTCCACACCCGAACCTCGCTTCTCTGCCGAATACTGCTAGACTTCCTAGCAGCTCCTTCTGTTCTCCTTTTCTAATAAATTATTGTTTGCAATCTTCTTTGACTCTGTGGACTGATTCTGTATGTCGTGGGTTAGGCATCTACCACACAACATGACAAATTCAGATTTAAAAATTTTGTATGTTAACTGTTAGTATTAGTGATATAAGGTAGAAAAAGTTTAGATATCAGCCATGAAAATTGGCCCAAAAAACGTGGTAGCACGTATCAACCATCGGATGGCCGGGACCTCTACATGTCAGCATTAGCATCTGCAAAAGGAAAACCAACATTGGACAAATTCTATGTAAATCTTGAAGTAATTAAGGGGTGAGGAGGGAGGTTGGGAGCAGTGTTGCCAACTCAGCGACTTTGTCACTGTTCCTAACGACTTTTGGACCCCCCTCAACGACTTTTTTTTTTTCAAAAAGCGCCTAGTGACAAACTTAGCGACATTTCTCTGGACCCGTTGCTACTTTCTGTAAAACTTTCTTGTAGATAATCCCTACAGATTAGCAACAAAGAAACCATTTGCACTCTGAACCGTTCTTCCGGGAGTAAGGAAAGAAAACAATCTGCACATGTGCACGAGGACTGACCAATCATAAACCGTTTTCGGCCGGGCTGATTCGCCGAAGACAAATGGGCCATTCCCATCTGTACCGGGTCGGCCCGGGCCGGGTAGCGTAGGTTGTTTACATATCTGGGTGGTCTGGTATTTTTCTGGGCCAACCAAGGCTCATTCTCAGCCCTCTTCTCGAGGGGGTCTGCTTCAGGCCGACCAGGGCCAACACACCCACTGCTGACAGCAAATTCACACCTTCCATTAGAGCAAGTCTCTGATTGGTGGGTAGAATCAGCCCACATGGGCTTAAGACAAGGATGTGTGGAATCAACCGGGCCAGGCTGGGGCCGACTGGGGCTACCCGGCCCGGGCCGACCCGGTACACATAGGAATGGCCCAAAAGGTACAGCTGCAGAGCTGGAGACCACCGACGTCTGCTGCTGCTGCAGGCTCACGCTTCTACTGGAGATGGCACAGGTGTCAAAGTGCGATCTCTGGTTCTGCAGCCGTCAGACACTTTGGTTTTTCCTGCATTTGGCAAATAAAGTCAAGGAGAGTTTCAACTACCGTCCCGTTTACACACGCAGCTCTGTGGCTCATGTGAATTTCCTTCAGTGACACAGGGATGGTTATACCATGAGACACCCGCTCCCTTTTGCTCGGAGCGCCGTTATTATCACGATGGAGAGAATACACAACAGAGAAGTTGGGAAACTATGAGGTGTAAAAAAAATGCTTTTTAGGAAAATGTCTGTGAGAATGAGAGCAGGAGGTCTGAGTTATATCCTACAACAGAACTGGTTGGATCACCACACCATATCTGTCTTAATGTCACTTTATTGATACCTTTGGAATTTATTGTACATATCAAAGCAATTTGGGCCATTTTAATCATACAAATTAATAACTTTAACACATAACACAGTTTTTATTTTCATCATATATATACAGCATGCTATGGGGAAAATGAATGCCAATGTGGCGTGATGACATCATCGATATGTAAATTATTACGGGACGTCATCTGGCGACATCTAGCGACTTTGGGGGTAACTTCAGCTACTTTCAGTCAAAAGCAGTTGGCAACACTGGCTACCTGTAGTAGTAGTTTTCGTCCACTAGACGCGGTAAAAGAAAAAATAAAACATTTATCTCGAAGGCCACACATTAAAGAATTGAGTTCTCGTATTTCCATCAAGTTGACATAACAGAAAATTATTGTGTCCTGTACTTCTGATTTTCAGTCCACTACTGCACACAACCACCGTGTTGAACAATGATACATAAATAGAAATTTCATTTCTAGCTAAGTGAAAAAAGAAAAAGACTGTTCGAATGAGACCCTGTTGCTAACGCCAAAAGGCTGTTGCATTTTATTTAGAAACCTGTTTGTACTAACTATTGTAACTTCATAAGTTTAGGTTCATATTCTCATCTTCCTCTTTCGTCTTCTCTTCTTAACATTCAAAGGAGACATATTTATTCCCAGCATCATAATCTAACGTTTTAACCACGTTTTAACAGAACCAGAATTGAGTTCTAGCATTTTGCCACTAGAGGGCGATAAATCCTCCCTTTCGCTAAAAGATAATCTGAATTTGACTGTGTACATACAGTACGTACAGTAGAGTGACGCAGCGTGTTTCTCAGGCTAGCATGAGAGTTGGCAGCCTTCAAGAGCAAGTCACCCCCTACAAGAAACTTACTTCACTCCCTCTTCATGTTTGAAAAATGCAACAAATGCGGTTGCCTAGCAGACCGAGAGGGCGGAGCCACTAACAAATACACACACACACAGGCTCACAACGGCACTGTGACATCTTAATGTACCAGTTTATATCATAGCATACCTCTTAGCCAATAGCGGTGGCAGATTTAAATTCAAATTGGGGGTGACTTGCTCTTTAAGATGAGCTGAAAGAAAACTGTAAAAGAAATCAAACAAATTATGAAAAGTTGATTATTTAAATCGAGAAACATCATACGTTTGCAAATAATCACCGTAAATATTTTTTGTGTAACACGAAAAGTCATCTTTTGCAAAATGTTCCATTTTCTAAAATTCATATTCTATTTCACGTTTAGACAAGTTTGGACGGGCTCCTTAGTGGGCGGAACGCCAAAACCCTTCCCCGGATGTGACCGTTAGCAACGTCATGCAAACAAGGAAGTGAAACTCAGAAGCGGCTAGTTTAAGTTTTTTTTCCAGCTGAACCACTACTATTGCCATTAGAAACGGACAATATGTTGTTTTACTAAATAAATAAATAATGCTTGGTTATTTTATAGGATTTGTGGCAGTTTTAACCGCTGCATGTTGACGGCTTGTAATGGTTTTATCTCTTTTGAACTCCTCGGTTGGTAGCTAACTTTAGGCTAGTCACCGGGCTAACGACTTTGGGTATATTTTCCTCTGAATTCCAGCAATTTGTCTGCACAGTTCATTTCTTTTGGCAGAAATATATGGCTCTTGTTAGCTGGTTTATATTATATAATCGTTTGACAGACATCACAAACGGACGAGTGCATGAATATCGCCGTTATGGGAGACAAAGAAATCTGCCTTATTGACAAGAAGATTACAAGGTAATGAGAAATCAAAGCTTTCTCTTTTCCATTTAATTCCTGACATCCACAAATTGTTTGAAAACTTGCAAAACTTCGTTCACTTATTGCGATTTTTTATAATGTAAAGATAATAAATTGTTCTACAAACAGAAATTCTAGTAAAACTACACACACGTAAAACTATAAGGAAACACAATAAAGTAATACATGTCTTAACAGTGCAACAGCTTAAAATAAATGCATTCAGTTCGTTTTTCACAACAAAGCAGCAGTGCTTTCTATCATCAGGGCTTTAAAATATTTATGTAAAAATAAAAGGCCTTCACGGCATTATAAGTAGATACTTCACAGGAGTGTAGAGTAGTAGCAATGTAAGTTTTCAAGCAGTAAATATGATATTTTTCAAATAAGTTTTCAAGCACTGTAAATCTGATATTTAAGCATTAATCTTCAAGATCATTTTAGGGTTTCAAAATAACAAATCTTTCATTTTAATGTGCACTGCATGCTAATCTTAATTGTCTGTTTTCCTTTCCTTTTTAATAATCAGTATATGTAGAATGTTGGCAATGAAAATTTTATTGGTCTTTAATTTGGATGAGATATTAACAGGTGATTAGATTGAATTAACTATAGATTCAGTGACATAAAGACAATAAAGTTGGGGGGGGGGGGGGGGGTGTTGGTGTGTGTGTGTGTGTGTCTGCTCTGTCTTCTCGATCCCCAGTAGTCATGACAGATGGCTGTATATACTGAGCCAGGATCCTCTGGAGGTTTCTTCTTGTTAAAAGGGAGTTTTCCTCTCCACTGTCGCTGCATGCTTGCTTAGTATGAGGATTGCTGTAAAGACTCTGACACAAGTCGGTATCTTTGAATTAGAATTTGACTCGATGCAGTTTGCTGGGTTCCTTGTACAGGAAACTTTACTGATTGGCTTAATGAACTGAACTGTATTGGAATGTTTACTCCGTGAAGTGCCTTTAATTAACTGCATCAGTTTCAATAAAAGACATTCAGGTCATCTTTACAATCACGCTCATCAGTTTTTTAGTTAAGAAACTATGAAGTCATTAATAAAACATTTCTATTCCTTGAGATTATAGCTTTTGCTGCGACTCTGATGTTGCTGGTTTTTTTTCAATAGTTTGCTGGGTCTTCCCTTGAGTCCTGCTGTGACGTCACTGAATGTGCATTGCAATCACATAACAAGGATCGAAGGTCTGTCCTCAGCTTGGCATCTACGACACTTAGACCTTTCTTCCAATCGCATTTCTAAGATTGAGGGTCTGAATTCCCTCACTTCTCTGCGGACTTTGAATTTATCATCCAACTTAATCACTAAGGTTGAAGGTAGGTCTGTTGTCACTGGTTTCAGAGGTAATAAATGTTTTGTCTCTGCACGAGCTCTCCAAGTAATAATTATTTTTTACTGTAGCCTGTGTTCACCATCACTTCTTTGTGAGCTGTGAAATCACTCACTTGTGAATGCTCCTTTTGCAATAGGACTGAATGGCCTTGTGAATTTAACAAGATTAAACCTGTCCTACAATCAGATTAATAATCTTACTGGTGAGTTTAAGTGGAGTTTCCATTTATTCAGGTTCAAAGGCAAAGATTAACTATCTGCAGAACTTCAGTATTGTTGATTTCCCCATCTCTTCATTAGGTCTGTTGTATCTCCATGGCACGGAGTACAAGCTCAAGCACCTCAGTCTCCATAGCAACTACCTAGACAACATCGATCATCTTCTGCAGTGCCTTTTGGGGTTACAAGGTTTACGGGACATCACTTTAAGTCAGGATGGTGGAGACAACCCTGTCTGTAGTTCACCAGGTAGGAGCAGAACTTTGGTGTGTGTTTTATTTCACACATAGATTTCTTGTAAAGCAAGCTGACTGACCATCAGAAATATTAAATTGTTGTTACAAGCAGTAGTATAAATAATATTTAAAAAACAGGCTAAAAGTAGCTTTATACTAGCACAAAGTAGAATTGTTATTAATTGTTTTACCATTTTTATTCTGTGTGCTTTTCCTCACAGGAAACTAATCAGCAACAACAAGTTTATGATGAAGCAGCAAAACATCAAAACTTGTATATATATGTCATTATTTTTTGTCAAAGCTATCTTCAAAACCTTTTCTTTTGAGCTGATCTCAATACAAAACAAAAAAGAAAAATGAGCAATCAGGTATACAATATATTAATCACCTCTCTAGTGGGTAGCATTTCTAACATACCAGTGGTAATGTAATATTCTCTCTAAACAGCTGGGCACACAATAAGTGCAAATGAACTTTTCTTGTGAACTTATTGAAAATCAAACTCATTCAGGTTGACAGCCTCTAAAAATAATGACTACAATCTTAGGTTACTGTTCACCTTATGGCCCTTCATCTTGGGTTGACAGCAGTATAATTGTAAAAAAAATCCTTTCAGTTGTGTTGTGCACTCAGTGTGTAGGTAGTTCTGTTCATGATTTATTCACAGCAGCAGATGGAGAAAGTGCCTCTTTTCATCTCAGACAAGTTGTACTTAACTCACTCTTACAATCCTTTCTGTCTGTGTATGCAGATGTACTTGCATAAGCTGTTCTCAGGTCAGATTGTATAAGCTGCATCACTAGTACATGTAAGGACAGAGGTTTTTTATGGATTAAAACTTGGTTTTAATCAGTGTGATCACTATAGCACCCGATGTGGCTGATTGCCATTGCTCAGGGACAACCATGTTGCTCCAGCATTTGACAGATTTTCTGAATGCAGATGTTTTTCTGTTTTTTACTGAAGGTTACTGGGATGTGGTTATGGAGTCGCTGCCACAAATTTCTGTTCTGGATAGACTGGATCGACTGAGACATCCACCATCTCCTGGTATCAGTAGCCTCTGTGACATCCCTGGAGGCCTGGAGGACTACGTGGAGTTTTTGCTCTCCTCAGATACAAGTCACAGCGAAGCAGTAAATTTGGATTTGGTTCTGCTATATTTTTAACTTTAGTTTCCTACTTTATCCAACATTTTCATCTTGAATCAACCTTTATAGAGCTGAGAAACATGTCAAAATAACACTATGTGAGTTAATTTTTGGTTAGCTGAAGGCTAATGTAGCAAATGGGATTTGAAAAATCATTTACATGCTGTGTTAGTTCAGTTCGAATGTGTTCTGCAACTTTTCACTCGAGAGATCTCCATATTTCTTCCTCCCTTAAATGTACTTTTACCACAGATTAAGGGGGCTGTTGCGACTCCCCGCATCGACAAGGTGCTTACCCAGGTTCGTCAGCAGATTGCCTCAGAAGCAGCCACAGATCCAGTCACACAGCCAGTCAGTCAGAGCTCCCAGCCAGTTCGTTCCACTGCAGCTGATCTACCGCATCCCATTAATGAAGAACGACTTAGGAAACTGGAGCACCAGGTGTCCCAACTCATCCAGCAGGTGCAACATTAACACAGCTGAAGCCACTGACTCACTCACCCAGATGGATTTTTGTAAGCCTGCATTGACTGATTATCACACCTGTTTTATACAGGGTATAGAAGGTGGCTGACAAGTCAGTAAGACTGCATTCTAGCTGTAGATGTTTTAGACATGTGCTATAGCTGTTTAACATTCTCACCTGTCACATAATACCATTAGGAAAGTGTTGATCAGGTCTAAAATTTGCCTTAATCAGAAGCCAAATAACACAGCCACAATCACAAGGATCTCTTGTCAGTGTGCTAAACCTGATTGTATGAGAACCATAGAGCTTTTAGCTTAGCATCTGAATCTACAAGATGCTTGAAACATCCTTCACTGTAGCCGGCCAGACATGCACAACCTTTAAGGAAACATTTCTTAAATTACACAAAAAATGTATATCTTTACTTTTATAACCTATAAATAGCTCAGCAGTAGAAATCATGCAGTCAAATATTGATTGCGTGATTGTGTCTCTAACACATGCAATTTTTTGCAATCTACACTGAAGGTCCCTGTGGGTGAAAAATCAACTATGTCTACCCAGTCTGTGGTTAAGCTACGGAAAGCCAAAAGGGACACAGATCATACATCAGAAAGTGAGTGTGAGAGTGGGAAGGAAAACCAGAATCACACAAGGATACTCAAACAAAGTAGCATCATGACTTCAAGTGCGTCCACTCAGGAGACCAAGAGCACGAGATCAGACAGGTGAGTCGCTCAGCTGCTAGCTTATTTCATAATGCAAAAACATGGTGATTACATTTGACTTAGTGATTTTTTTATTTATTACATTACTATTAGCTAAGACATGTCATCTGAGCTCTAGATTGTAAATACATTTTCTAGCACAATGTGTAATTGGGAATAATTAGATTTATGCAAACATGGATGGGTTTGCATCTATAATAATTTGTGTAGCAGAACATATCATTTTACCTATCATTTATCAACTTGATATCATTTACTATCTTAATGATAAAGGATATCTTAGCTGAAGAGGATGATGAATGTCCCTCCCTGACCTTTCACCACCTCACTTTGGTGATTAATGACTCTACTTCCATTGTCTGCACCTTCATCTTCCTTCACTAAAAACAAATGCTGAAAATGCACTAGTCTAACTAAAGCAAGCTTGCAAAGGTATTATAAAACAGCTCAGAGTTTTAGATTTAGCTTAAACTTTTTCAAACTTTGCTTAATGTAAAAAAAAAAACAGCAAGTCTGACCTTTATTTAACCAGACATTCACCGGAGAACTATCCTGTTCAGAATAAATATTAGAGCCTGCTACATACTTGTGATTTTTTTTATTTGCAGCGATCATGAAATTTGTAAACTCAAGACTTCAAAGTTTGCTTTGGGGCCCAGAAGAAAAAGTGCTATTGGAGGAGGGGTTCAGGCAGCAGCACAAACAAGAAAAGCACCTTTGAGAGCAGCCAAGGCTTCAGGCGATGTCAAAGCAAAGTCCATCCAAGGAGAAGAAACCTACAGGGTACGCTCTGGATAGATCTCCTGCAGGCTGAATGCTTGCAAATTTATATGAAATTTTCCAGTGAATTTCTAACAAAGATGATTATTTCAGTTCAACTGGGATATTTATAGAGCTTATTTTAACAGCACAGTTTAATATTTATATTTTTTCATCTTTTAGTGTTTTGATTGTTTTTCCTTGTGCCGTTATTGAGCATTTTGACCAACTTTTTAACAGAATGAAACAACTGCAAAACATTTGCAGTAGTAATTTGTGAAAACTAAGGCATTTCCTCTCTTTGACAAACTTGATTTGTAAAATTTGTTAAAATCTTAACAGTGCAGGAGAGGTAAATCACCATCACTCAGACTTGTTGCAACACAGTTGATTCCTTAATATTTAATTGCAAATAAATAGTTTGCAGCATTGTTTGTGCGAGATGTAAACAATTTCTAAGTGCATTGGTAAACCATCATAAGGTGACTCGTATGTTTAGACGATTGTGGAAGAGCGTGATCAGGAAATGGAGAGACGTTGGAAGGCGGAGCAAGCTGTGCGAAAGCTGACGGAGGAGTTGAAGTGCCTGCAGACAAAGGTCAGCGAGGAGAAGGACCTCCAGAGCATGGCTCTGCACACCACAGACAGGTAAGAGGGAGTGCAGATGGACATGTCTACTCTGCAAACACAAACATTCACACAATCTACTATGCACTCTAAAGCAGACGTCACACTAAAAAAGGATAATTGTACTCATCTCTGGATTTTAGCTGTCAGCTGAATAATGGATCCTCATTCAGATCTACTCATAATCTTTTATGTGAGCTCACCTGAGAGCAGAGCCACCTGCCAGTTTTGTTCTGAGTTTCCACACAATCATTAAGTCTCAGAATCCAACGGCTTTTGCACTAGTGTTTAGCACCATTACCCCACAATTAGTGTAAACATCATTCATTTACCCACCCATTCAGATTTTCAGAAGCAAACATTTTCTATATTATACTTTTTTCTTATTTCTGTTTTTTGTGCCTTCTCCGTGCAGAGAGGGGTGTCAGTCTATTGTGCTTTCCTTGTTTGCATCACATCTTTGTTCAGACAAGCCCACATTTTAAAGAAAGGCTTGTGGTGCACGTATGTTGGCAGGATTACACAAATCCGTCTCACCTGTCACTTTTTAAAAGCAAACACTGCTGTTGTTTTTGTTGACATCTCCACTCTGCAGGGCAGATTACACAAAAGTGGTTCATCAAGGCAGATTAGAAACAACTGTGGATGAGTGTCTAACTGATGTGTGTATCTCCTGCTTTTTCCTGCCACTTGAACACCGTTCCATTCTTTTCTAGATTTTGAAAATTCTCCTAACTGAGACTCAATCAAATTTACAGCAAAGCATCTGAAATTTCCTCTCTTCCCTATTTTCCTTTGACACATTTAAATTAGTCTCAACTGTGCACCCTGCAGAATCTCATCATATTTTCACCCCTTGCAGACTGAAGGAGTTGCTGCTGAAAGAGAGATCAGGACGCTCTGAGCTACAGGCTCATGTTGAGGAGCTGGAGAGGAGGTGTCAGTCTCTAACCCAGCAGTTGGAGCAGGCCCGCAGCAGTGAAGAGCAACACAAGACTGCATTGCATAGATTGGAGGAAAGCATCACCCACAGAGATGCACTCAGGGCCTGCCAGCAGGCGGAAGAGGTACACACACACACACACACACACACACACACACACACACGCACACACACACGCACACGCACACGCACACGCACACGCGCACACACACACACACACACACACACACAGGATTGTTAGCCTGAGAACACATCAGTTTGACAGAAAGGCAGTAAGGTGATGCTCATTAGTTCCTAATGTAAAGTTGGTGCCACAAAACAAGTTTATTTAGAGTCACAGAAACATAATTGTGTCAGAATGCTTCTGCTGTACCTCGTTATCTTCCTGTAAGTCTAACCGTGACTCTAATTTGTGCAGTAATAAGATTTGGCAGCAAAACTCCTTAAAGGGACTTTACGGACTTTTGAATTTTTATGCTTGCGATTGCCCCCTCAGGCCAAAAGTGTAACAGGCAGCTTCAGTAGTAGGCTCATGCACGAGGCGCGCATGCTGTACGTGCACACTCCTTAACGAAAATGACAGCTGAGACAGTCCCTTGTGTGTGTGTGTGGCCCAGAGGACAGAGGACAGGAGAACGCGCAGCTAATTAATTAAATAATTTGGTTCTGTACCTTTCTCTTCAGCACAGCCGACAAAGGTTTAAGATGGGTCAGTCTTCCTGCATGCTCAGATCATTCCCTTCCCTTGCTTGAAAAATTGTTCCAAAATGAAAGTTGAACCCATATCTTTTTTATCTGTGAATTCAATGCCGTTCGGCGAGTCTCAAATAAAAATTTGGGCACCTTACTGTAAAAAATATATCATTAATGTAAAAAATAAACTCTAAATAAACTATGTTCACATTCAGAATCGAACCCAGGTCTTCTACATGAAAGTCAGGCATCTTACAAGGTGAGCTACACACCAGTTACATTCATAGCATCTGTAACTTTTATATCCTTGATGACAACTGAAACGACGTCAATCCAAAGAATGGTTCGGAGCGAAAATGGTTATTTTGTTGCTAATTTGCAGGAAATATCTAGAAGAAAGTTCTACAGAAAGTAGCTAAGGGTCCTCAGAAATGTAGCTAGGGTCATCACTAGGCGTTAGGAACAGCGACAAAGTCGCTGAGTTGGCACTACCTCTCTCTGCTGCTAGAACTACGGATAGCAAATGCCACGGGCTATGCCTGAGTGTGAACGTGCATGAAGCAGCCTGCTCGACCCGAGCAACTCTCTTTTTCTGTGATTTTACAGAAAAACAGGCAATCACAGTAAAAATGCCAGGGCTCATTTTACAGGACCAGGGCATTGCAGGAGAATGTATGAAGAAGAAATGTATTATTTCTATACATGTTTTGGCTGTCAAACTTCCATAATGCCCCTTTAAGCTCTAATAGAGTGCTACAAACCCTATTCTGACCATTCTCAGATGAAACGTTACCAGGAGCTGGAAAACAAGGCAGCAGCTCTGAAGAGAGAGCTGGACATTCAGAGAGCCTCAGTCCACCAGCACAAAGACAAACTGCAGCAGCTGCATGAGCTACTGGCTTCTAGAGAACAAGAGCACAGGTACATCTCATCCACACAGTTTATAAATCAGTAAAATCTGCTCTCTTAATGAACAGCATTGTTCTAGGTGTGCATTTTCTGTCAAAGCCTGATCAATTTCAGTCATTTCCAGTATTGTGCATCCCCTTCACTCAAATATTTTTCTTTTTAGGCCAATAAAACTATTCTGAGTTTGATTTGAGTGGCTCATATTTGTGGTAATTATATCACAAGAGAATTGATAAATCTTTAGAGCATGGTTTCTCAACCTTTTTCAGCTAAACGCCCCCCCAAGTCATGCTGAAATCCCTTACTGCCCACCAATGTCCCATGCAGAAAAATGGAAAGTTTTTTTTAAATAAAAATCATAATAAAAAAAATAAATAAATAAACAATTCAGCCTTGAGTTTGAAACTGTTTCATACAAATATGTCATAAAAAAGTATCATAAAAAGTGTTTTTAGCTATTAGCAACAAGATATTGTAGGAAGCTAATAATCCTCGGCCCAGTAAATTTGAGCTTCGAGCAAACATACTGCTAATGCTACCTCTTTTAGAGTGTCTCTCTTTAATTACCTGAAAATAGTTCAGTTCCTTTAAAGCTTTGTCTGGATGCATTTTGGACTCCTTAAGCCGGGAGGATTTCATCGTTTCGTTTCAAAAAACTTTTCACAAAGCAAGCACATGGGGAGTTGTGGATTCGTGGGTGAAGGAATACGTCCATACCGAAGGTAGTGCACATTGTACTGTCGACACTTCTTTTTATTCTGAGCCATTGTCTGTTATGAATGTTCTGTACTGCTAGCGCCCACCATTAGCATCTCAGCGCCCCCTTCAGTGGCAAAAAACTTTCACCGCCCCCTTATGTAGTCTGAACGCCCACTGGGGGGCGCTACAGCCCCCGTTGAGAAACCCTGCTTTAGAGGGAGACGTATGTGTTCTTCTCTGAAATCTGACTGGATATCACCACCAAGGCACAGAGCTAAAACTTCAGATCACAAACTCAAAATGTTCCCTGTCAGAAAAGAAACCAGTAATTTGCATTAATGTAGCAGTTGGCTCTAACGTTTCAGAAAAAAAACAACAGTCCCCTATAGGCTAACAAGCTAACACAGTCATGCTACTATCAGTATAACACACGTGCTTGTTGTCTTTTCAGTGCAAAACTGACTTCGTCTGAGCCTGTGGAGAATGGCGCTGATCCAGAGTTTCTGCACATTTGCTGATGTGCTTTCATCCCTCATTAGTTTTTTTATTCACCTTTTATTTTAAAGCACAAGTTAAGAGTATTAAAGTCATAAAGTTGTGTTTAAAAATCAAACCCCCCCGAAGGAAACACTGTGATCTCTCGTTTCAGTGAGATTTAAAAGCTCATTCATAGTATTTTTATGACTAAAGATTTTGTTTGACCTGAAATAAACATTTTTTAGCCTTTTCTTCTGAGGAATTATTAGATTTTGTGGGTTTACCTCCTGAAAAAGATTCCCTAAAATATTTTTTCTATATTACAGTATTTTATTGTAAGGCAAGTTTGTTTTGTTTCAAAGTAGTTTTTCATTTTATTAAAACATGCAAATTCATGTTGAAACTTGTAGATGTTTGTTTAGTGTAGTTTTCTGTTTAGTAAACAGTTGCTGTGTTAACAGGTCTGTGATTGGCTCGTTGTCCTCTTCCCTCAGAAGGCAGCTGGAGTTGCGGTTACAGCCTGGTGGGGCAGATTTCAGGGAGGCAGTGGCGAAGGAAGTAACATTGGTGGATGAGAAACACAAACAAAAGGAGGCAGAGCTGCAGGAAAAACTGACAGAGGGCAGGAAACAGTACGCTGCTCTGGAGGATGAGTTCCGCATGGCGCTAACCATCGAGGCTGCTCGCTTCTCTGAGGTCTGTCTCCCAGCTGACTTGAAATCCCCATGCTTACATACACAGAAACATTTTCAGATTAAGACTTGATTCTCTGAATTACCTTATTTTGTGTTCTGAGATTTCTTTTGTTAAATAATAATGCATTGAACTTATATAGCGCTTTTCTAGACACCCAAAGATGCTTTCACACTCACATTCACACACTGCTAGTGATGGTAAGCTACTTGTAGCCACAGCCGCCCTGGGGAGGTCTGACAGAGGCGAGGCTGCCATTTGGCGCTGTCAGCCCCTCTGACCACCACTAACACAGGCAAGTTGGGTGAAGTGTCTTGCCCAAGGACACAACAGCAGAATACCCCTGGCGGGAGCTGGAATCGAGCTCAAATGGCTCTATTGAAATCCACTAGTTAGTTTTATTAAAAATAAAAAAGTTAAAGTTTTACCGGCCACATCTCTGTCATATTCCTGGGAAGGTGTTTAACCCACGACATGAACCATCACAGGACAAAGGCAGAAAGTTCAAACAATGATTTATTAACCCTAACTGAAAGTGTCCTGGAGATATCCAAGTGTGAAGTAGTCGGCAAGAGTCCAAAAGCCAGCAGGGAGGGCAAACGGTGTGACGGGGTACGTCCAGGAGAGGGAGCCAGATGATGGCGGCAGAGGGCAAGTGAAGCTGGAGGAGAGGTGAACCTTGAGTGTGTAATCCAGGCGGGTTATGGTGACTTCCAGGTAGGTACATCCATCTGTGGTTCAGCGATTCCAAGTATCCTGAAGATGAAACAGACTTGAGTCCAAACACCAAAAAATCCAAGCACAAAAAACCAGATAAATCCAAAAACTGAGACAGCACAAATGTCTGAGCAGAGACCAAGTAAAACCTAGTACTGAGTGGCAAGATTCTACCGTGAGTAGTTAATCATCCAGCGATGTGAAGTGGTTCCCTCTCCTCTTAAATAGAGCTCTGCTGCGGTTGATTAGAGGATCTGCAGCTGCCGCTGATCGGTAATGCCCCACAGCTGGTGAGTGCCCTCTCCTGGAATGACAGTCTTACAAAGATGTTGTGGAGAAGAGGGAGTACTCACCCCGTCACACAACAATCTCTTGTAAAAGTTTCTAAGTAAGATAATCTTATATCGGTAATTTAGGTAAAATCATAAAAATAACATCAGGCACAATCTCATTGCAAGATTTGGAGTAAGTGGTGAATAACTCTATAGCTCAATATCAGTAGAACTGACTGAGTTTTAGCTAGCTCTGTGTATTTATATTTCAGGTGGATGTGGCTACCATCTATTTCTGGGTTAACTTCAAATGTTTATCAGCTATAAATGTTCACTGCTTTCAGTAGTTTCTTTAAAATCTGTCCAGTGGTTCATGAAGTATTTCACTAGTGATCACACAGACTTTATAGTCTACTTTTTGCCTTTCAGCACCGATTCATAGAAATTCAGAAAATAGAAACAATTTTTCAAAGCCCAATTTTACATATCGGACTGATATGTTAAAAAATTACCAACATCGGCCGATACTAATATTGCTGCCGATATGTCGTGCATACCTAGTTATTTTACTCCACTAGAATCCCAACATAAACGACCATTCAAGCAGATCCCTCTGGGTCAGTTCAGCATGAAAATTCTGCAGGTAAGAAAATGTCAAGACTTGTCAGGAAGAGATGCATCAAAGCAATGCTCTGTGGTTTGAACAATGTGGTGTTAATTAATATTTGGATTTGCATAAACTTGTGTAGGAGGACTGATGTGGGTGTAAGTAATAGACTATGCTCCATAATTTGAAAACTAAATTTAAAAGTTCTAACATGCAGTAAACAGTATAACTGTTATAATTTAGAATTGGATTGGATGATTGCTGTATTTAAATGTTGACTCTGATTATATCCTGACTCTTAAACTGAGTTTTCTGTCTTTCATTAAAGAAGAGAACTCATTGAACAGGAATTGACCTCATCTTTAAGCGATTTGTTAGATTTTTTGCAGATTAATGGTAAAAGCTGAGACTTTGTTATGACCATTGAGCTCAGGACAAGCAGTCTTTGATTGCCACAGGAAGAAAGCTTTACTCCAAGATTGCATTTGAATTCAGCCTTTGCACAAAATGTATTATTCTCCGTTGATTGCAACCTCTTGCACACTTTCATTCTTGACGTCAGTGCACATTTCCACTTTAAAGAAATGCCTGAATAATAAACGAAGTGCTCGCCCCATCTTTTTTAAACATTATGGGTAATATTAGATTAGACCTGATACAAATGTGGAGTTTTGCATGAACCAAAGTTCTCTACATGGTTTAATCATTTGCTTTATTGTGTCTTTTGTGTCAAATGCTTTGTTTTTCTTGCAGATGAAGGAGGCGTGTGATCACATGACTGCAGAGCTGATGGAGCTCAAGGCGGCCCTCGCTGAGTCTCAGCAGAGGGAGAAGAAATCAGCCTCTCTGGTGCCAGAACTCACAGCTATGGTGAAAGAACAGAAGACTCGCATCTCTGAGCTCATCAAAGCCAAGAAAGATGCTGTCACTGATCTCAAGGTGTGAGGCTTTACAACAACAACATGTACTTTTTAAAAAGCTAAGTATCTGCTTTAGACTCAGCTGCCTCCTTTTTCTAATCGTGGTCACTCTGAGCGTGTAGGAGAGGGACTACTTTCTGGCTTCTTCAATACTGAATGATCCTGCTGCCTCACCGTCTGCCAGCTGTGACAGTTGGAGGTTCATCATTAATACAGCTTGTGTCTGTTCCTCTACCAGAACCGGCTGTACTCCTTGGAAGGAGAGGTGGAACAGAGCCGGCGACAGAAACTGCAGCTCGAGGTTCTTAAGAAAGACAAGGCACGGCTCATGTCTCAGCTCACAGCTCAGGAGTCTGTGATAGACGGCCTTAGAGCCGAGAGGAGGATCTGGGGCCAAGAGCTCGCTCAGCAAGGTAAAAAAATAAATATATATCACATGTGAAGCGTCCTTACTGATGAGTCAGGGTTACAGAGCATGAAAAACTCTGAAAGACAGGTCTAGTTGAAATGAGTTGGATTGTCAATGTCGTTAGGAATTTTGAGAGATCCTAAAATCAAATTTTTATGAAGAAGGGCTCATAAAACACAGTTGTCTCTCTTCTTGCCTTTCAGTAGTGAGCAATAATGAGGCCCGGCAAAAATATTTTTGCACTGTCCTTTTAATAATAACCATTATGTAGTCTGAATTTAAATATATTAATGATAATATTAGAATCAGAATATAATTTTTTTTCCAGGTGCATCTCTGGCGCAGGATCGGGGGCGCCTGGAGGCTAGGATTGAGGTGTTGACCAATGAGCTGGAATCTCAGAGGAAACAGAATCAGAGGGATGAAGATGCCCTTAAAATAAAAACCAAAATCATGGATGACCAGACAGGGACTATTCGCAAACTCAAACAGGTGATGTAGTTTACTTTTTTTTGCAGCTACATAGAAAAGCACTCCTTTAAAACTTCACACCCGCACTGTTTTGCTTTACTATGATCTGTTTCTGCTCATTAAAAGCCTAATAGCTGTTTGGATTTGATGTACATTTATGTGGTTTTGTAGTTTTTCTCTTTATCTTGACACTGTTTGTTTTTTCATCCATCACATTCCTGCTGTTCAGTCGCTGCAGGAGCGTGACGATCAGATCCGTAGGCTGAGGGAGGAAGCTTTGCAGATCCAAAAGACGTTCCAGCAGCAGCTTGAGGAGGAAACAGGCCAACAGGCTGAGCTCAAGGAGCAGCTGGCACATCTGAATCTGCATAAGAATGAGCTGAAACAGCAGGTGGAAGACAAGGATGCAGAACTTGAGGAGATCAGACGAGTGTACAGGCAAGTGTTCATTAACAGAACCAAGTGTGGACAAGAAAAAGTAGCTCTTTGTGAATAGCTGTATAATGTATTGAAAGATGGTGATATATATGGTAATATATATTTATATAGATGGCTATATAAATAAACTTGAATTGAATATGTATTTGGACTGCTCAGACTTCAAGCTCACATTGTAGCTGTCACCACTGCTGAGTAAAATGTGAAATTCAAAATAAAACAATATGATTTGTGTCTCTCCTCTGTTAGAGACTCCAACAAGAAGTGGCAGGAGAAGGCAGAGCTACTCACTCGACTTGAGAGCCAAGTGAAGCGCATGAAGGAAAATTTTGATTCCAAGGAGCGCCAGCTGCTGGAGGAAAGAGATAAAGCAGCAGATGCACACAAGTAATATTAGCAGAAACACATCTTGTCATTCTGAGTCTTATCAAGCAGTTTATTACAACTGAACATAGTTTAAGCCTCAGAGTGGCTAATGTCTCAATCGCTGATGAGTGTAGGAATTTAAAATCTATTTGTCTTCTGAGGAATGCAGCTTGACAAATCTGTTCTCATCAGATTTTCCCCTTAGCCTTAAGATGACTGTTGTTCAGCAGTGCTTCTGCTCATATCACCCTTTTCAGAGTTTAGGTAAAGTTTCTTAACCACGCCATTTTTGAAACCAGATAGTGGTTCTCTCTACTCTAGAGCTGCCGTGGAAAAGTTGCGCTGTGTGGATGATGCTTTTCGTCAACAACTGGAGTCTGTCCAGGCCGCGCATCAAGCTGAGCTGCTCGGGCTGTCTAAGGAAAAACAAACACAGATAGAACAGGCTAATCAGAAGGTAAGCTATAGACTGCATGCATCAGAATGTTTTCTTCTTGTCTCCAAATTATAGAGAATAACAGCTGCTTTTAGTCTGCCTATTCATAAATGAGACATGTAAACACAAGCATCATGTAGATGTCTATATAGTCAGATCACAAACAGGAAGCCTTGAAAGTAATCACAGGTTATCAAGCTGAATGAGAGGATAGCTACATGTATATTTCAGTCAAAGCTTTTGTGGACTGCTTCACTGTTGGGTTAATGTTTTGTTGTGAATGATGAGACGGATTGTGTCAGTCAAAGGATGGCCCTGTCTCCATGTCTATTTTTACTCATCACTCTAGCTTATTTAGCTAACCATGTCTTCCTCAGTGGGTTTGTGGGGAGCTGTTGTCCAGTTCCATCAGTCACCGGGCAAAAGGCAGGGGACACTCGCCAGTCCAATGCAGGACCACACAGAGACAAACAAGACGGGGACAATTTAGTGTCTCCAGTTGACCTGACATGCGTGCTTTTTGTCTTTGAAAATAAACTAGAGTCTAGAGAAAACCTACTCATGCATTGGAAGAACATGCAAACTCTGTGCAGGAAGGCCGCTGCTGGGATTTAAACCTACAACGTTCTTGCAGTGAGGCAACAGTGCCACCAACTGTTCCACCATGCAGCCCTCCTATCAATCTCTTAAAATAAAAGTTTAGCTTCTGGAAAATTATGAAAGAGTTTCAAAAAGTTGTTTTATTGTTTAACATTCATATATGTGTGATTTTTCATTATTTTTACTGAATCTTTTCTCCTTTTGCCACATTGTGCCAAAGTTTTAATTATATTTTACCCAAATAGCTATTACCGTAATTTCTGGACTATAGAGCGCACCTCAATATAAGCCGCTCCAAAAAAAAAAAAAAAAAGGGTTTTCTACACACACGCTGCACTCGAATACAAGCCGCGGCGCAGCAGCAGCCACATGCAGGTCTCCGGCGCACAGCGCATGTACGGCCATAACATAAGATCATTAGACAGAAATACGCTACACAGAGGTTTTTCGTTGTTGTTTTAATTCAACAAACCGAATTTTAAACACGGGTAAGCACTGATAGCATTCATATTTCTGGATGGTTATGAAATAAAAACAGAACTGACACGTTATTACCGGTAATTTGCATGCATGTTTAGAAGAAAAGAACAGCGCTGACACAGCATTAATAAGCCCCGGATGATTAGAAAATAAAAAACTGCACATAAAACATGCCTGGTTAGTAAATAAAACACACTTGCCTACCAGAAAAAGTCATTCGCTCTCATCTTCCTCTTGCGCACTAAAGCCATTAAAGTCGTCCTCTTCAGTGTCGGAGTTGAACAGCCTTAGAAGAGCTTCGTCACATACCTTTTCTGTGGCAATGTCAGTGTCGCTGTCCGTGTTGCTGTCATCATCCCCAGGAGAAGCTGGCTTGAATGAGTTCTTCCCGCTAACGTCTCCAGCGCCGAACCATGGATTCATTCATGTCAAGCTTATGTGTGGCAGCACTGTTTCCCTCCTTTACGGCCAGATTGTAGTTACCATGATGAGGGGGTATGGATTTGAAAAAAATTCTTTGTCGCGCTGGCTGCTTGCATGTGCTAAATTAGAAGGAGCACTTTCTTCGATTTCCACTTTTGACTTCCACCTGTTTCACTTTCTGCTAAAGCGCCCCCTGGCAGGTGAAAGAAAATCTTCAGTAAAGCCGCACCTCATGATAAGCCGCATGGTTCAAAGCGTGGGGAAAAAAGTAGAGGCTTATAGTCTGGAAAATACGGTAGTTGTTAAGTTTTGAGTGATTCAAAGACTGGGAAACATCTGCTTGGGGTGTTTGCAGCTGAAACGGTCTTTGTTTTCCTTTCACAGGTATTTGAAGTAGAAGAGGAAATGCGTCAACTTCTCCTGGAGACAGAAGCTAACAAAAGAATCATGGAGGAGAAAATGAAACGTCTCACGAGTGTGCTAAAAGACTTCAACACATGAATTATTAGAACACTGGACAGTTCGAATTTTGAAACAGTTTTCAAACACAAATGTATTTTCTGTAAATTGGGTAAAATATTTATTGCGCTTTAGTCTGAGCTATCTAATAAATTCATATTGAAAGAATTGAGGTGTTTATTCAATAATAAAGAGGATGAGTCAGATGCAGAAAAAGGTTTCAGCTCAGGTTACTAGAATTTGCAATTCTCTGTTTGGTCAACCAAGAAAACATAGTATAGTGAATGTTTACTCTGTCAGGGCTCTTGCAGGTTACATTTTTCTCATTTCACTTACAGGTTTCACAGTTCTGAAGTACTAAGATTTATTTGTTATGCAAAAACCTTAAAATTGGAGATGTTTCTAGTTTTTAACAGATCATTTTTGCTTTGTTGAAAACAAACAAAAACTGCATTTTAAAAGTAATTTCGACGAGTAAAATCCCAGTTTTTGTCAAACATGCTGAAGATTGAGATAGAGGTTAATAAAGCTATATTTTTAAATTGTTTTTGTATCTTCACTTTAGTGTCAGGCTATTTTACGACATGTATTTCAAAGAGGGCGGGGCTTTGCCAAAAGGAAGGACTGCCTCGGCTCGGCACGAGCGGGACCAAGGGTTGCCGTGGTAACCGACCTAACGTAACGTACGTTCATTCAAAAGGACCACAGGTACTACAGTCCCGTTGAGGTAACAAAGACTGTTTACAGACACACATTGTTTGACTTTCGTTGAAGTAGCGGAGTAAAAAAAAGCGAGCTTTCATTTTTTAGAACGAAGATGGAGGTTGAGACGACGGAGACTTTACGCTCGACCCCGACTCGACATGAAAAAAGTTTGGGGCTCCTCACGATGAAGTTTGTCTGTCTACTACAAGAAACTAAGGATGGCGTCCTTGATTTGAAAGTGGTCAGTGAAACAGAAGATGGGTTCAGTACTGTTGTTTTTGAAGGCCCCCACTTTAGGTTTGAACAAAGTGGGAAAGTGAGGTGCATTGAAATAACAGGTGGACTAATCATGAGCCGCCATTATGCAGCTTCTCCCTTTGTGGATCGAAAAATATACATAACTAGTTGGGTTCCTAAGTTAGCTAAAGAAGTTATGCTAAACTGTTCAATAAATGCCAACACACTTAAAACATAAAGCACGTTCTTGTGACAAAAATCCACAAGTGTAAGGTTTTATCTTGCTACTGGCAACATATATTCATATTTTATTCCGGAGTTAGTCCGTTAAGGACATATTTGAACCACCAGAATAATTTTGTGAATCTAAACCAGGGTTCACCAAACGTCAGTACTCGAGGGCTACTATACTGCATGTGTTATGTTTCCAGCTTCAGCACATCAAAATCGAATGGTTTCATACATCACCTCATCTAGTTGAGTTCAACAGAAACTGTTTATCACTTCTTTATATGACCAGGTGTGGTCTGAAATATGTAGGATAATAGCCCAATAGAGGAAAGGAATTGGTGACCCCTGATGTAAACAGACATATTTATTATGTGAATATGTACAAATATATTATTGTGATATACTTATATATTAGTATTCTGCATTAGTAAACTGCATTAGTATTAGTAATGCAGTTTATATATTACTGCATTCAAAAATTTTATCAGTCAGTTTATCCCACATAAATCTTGCAACAGCAAAATTAAAATGTGAACGATTTTTCATAGGAATGTATTTTTTTACTTTAACATTGAGAATTTTCCCTCTCCTCTTGCCCGCCAAAGCTAGGTAATATTTACATAGCAGGTTCCTCTAACTCTCTTGTCCCCCCTCCTCCTTCCTCCTTTGTTATTGCCTAAATGTCTTCCACTGCCAAAGAAATTACGTACTACTTGTGCATCTCAATTAGCCAAATCCTTGATTTTGCTGGACCAGTTTCAGTTCCTGTTTACGTTTCTTACAGACTGTTACATATATTCATTCTTTTAAATGTCAAGTAAAGTAACTGCATATCTTGTCAACACAAATTCATCTCAAACTGTTGCTGAGCTACACCACTTATGGAGACGTTTGTCTGAATCTACAGGCTGCGGATAGCTTGGCTGTCAAGCAAAAGAGGAGGATTTACGACATTACCAATGTGCTGGAAGGTGTGGGTCTGATTGAGAAGAAAAACAAAAATGTGATACAGTGGAGGTGTGACAACATGTTTTGTTGTATAATGATTAAATGCTTATATGTTAGCATTGCACATACTTTAGATTTCACAGCTGACACATTCATGATCTTTGATTGGTATAGAAATTTTTTGTGACTGATAGTGTTACATTCTCTGATTCTTTATTCTGTTTTTGTTCAGAGGTCAAGACAGAAACAGCCAAACTCAGGAGGTACTGGGGCAGGTCAAAGCTTTAAAGGCCCAAATCTCTGAGCTCGAGACTCAAGAAAAAGAGCTGGATGAGCAGAGTGCCTGGCTGGAGGAAAACATAAAACATCTCAACCATGATCCTGTCACCAGTGCATATCCTTTCTTATCTTTTCATTTCTTGATATTCTTAAATGTCTTATTTTTGTTGGTAGTTTACCTGCATCCTATATTGTACTGTAAGATTTCCCATTGGACGCACACATTCGCCGCAGAGATCTTGTGTTAACTTTACATCCAGGAAAATGTATATTTGATTTGAAAGTGTTTCTTTGGTTTGCTAATCTTATTCTCCCAAGACAGTCATCTCATGGGAAAGAAATGCCTGCCTTAGCCTTTCAACATTGTTTTCCTATTAAAAAGAGAAAGGGCTGAACAGGAAGGATTATAAGTGAAATCCGTATAGTCAGCCAGTGAAATAGCGTCCTGGCTTTTCCTGACTTACACAATGCTTACGACATTGTTTTTTCCAGTTTATTGTCTTCATTTTCTTCCAAAGTTAATCCTTTTTTCCTTAACACCACTCTACCTATAAGTTTGTGACACATGAGGACATCTGCAGTGCTTTTGGTGAAGACACCCTAGTGGCCATTGTGGCTCCTTCTGGAACCCAGCTGGAAGTTCCTCTTCCTAAAACGGTAGTTTATTTTTACCAATATGAACGCTTTTATTCTGCTCTGTTCTAATGTCGACATTCTCCAGAAAGTCAAATATTTATCACATTTTTCCAGCTATTTTATACCTCACTTGTGGTAATATACAAGGTCAGCTCTTCAAGCAAACAATTTCGGTTTATGCAGGCTAGCATGTGCTGTAATATTCATGAAACAAGGTCCTAAATACAGGGAGTGCAGAATTATTAGGCAAGTTGTATTTTTGAGGAATAATTTTATTATTGAACAACAACCATGTTCTCAATGAACCCAAAAAACTCATTAATATCAAAGCTGAATGTTTTTAGAAGTAGTTTTTAGTTTTAGCTATTTTAGGGGGATATCTGTGTGTGTAGGTGACTATTACTGTGCAAAATTATTAGGCAACTTAACAAAAAACATATATATACCCATTTCAATTATTTATTTTTACCAGTGAAACCAATATAACATCTCCACATTCACAAATATACATTTCTGACATTCAAAAACAATACAAAAACAAATCAGCGACCAATATAGCCACCTTTCTTTGCAAGGACACTCAAAAGCCTGCCATCCATGGATTCTGTCGTGTTTTTATCTGTTCACCATCAACATTGCGTGCAGCAGCAACCACAGCCTCCCAGACACTGTTCAGAGAGGTGTACCGTTTTCCCTCCTTGTAAATCTCACATTTGATGATGGACCACAGGTTCTCAATGGGGTTCAGATCAGGTGAACAAGGAGGCCATGTCATTAGTTTTTCTTCTTTTATACCCTTTCTTGCCAGCCACGCTGTGGAGTACTTGGACACGTGTGATGGAGCATTGTCCTGCATGAAAATCATGTTTTTCTTGAAGGATGCAGACTTCTTCCTGTACCACTGCTTGAAGAAGGTGTCTTCCAGAAACTGGCAGTAGGACTGGGAGTTGAGCTTGACTCCATCCTCAACCCGAAAAGGCCCCACAAGCTCATCTTTGATGATACCAGCCCAAACCAGTACTCCACCTCCACCTTGCTGGCGTCTGAGTCGGACTGGAGCTCTCTGCCCTTTACCAATCCAGCCACGGGCCCATCCATCAGGCCCATCAAGACTCACTCTCATTTCATCAGTCCATAAAACCTTAGAAAAATCAGTCTTGAGATATTTCTTGGCCCAGTCTTGACGTTTCAGCTTGTGTGTCTTGTTCAGTGGTGGTCGTCTTTCAGCCTTTCTTACCTTGGCCATGTCTCTGAGTATTGCACACCTTGTGCTTTTGGGCACTCCAGTGATGTTGCAGCTCTGAAATATGGCCAAACTGGTGGCAAGTGGCATCTAGGCAGCTGCACGCTTGACTTTTCTCAGTTCATGGGCAGTTATTTTGCACCTTGGTTTGTCCACACGCTTCTTGCGACCCTATTGACTATTTTGAATGAAACGCTTGATTGTTCGATGATCACACTTCAGAAGCTTTGCCATTTTAAGACTGCTGCATCCCTCTGCAAGATATCTCACTATTTTTGACCTTTCTGAGCCTGTCAAGTCCTTCTTTTGACCCATTTTGCCAAAGGAAAGGAAGTTGTGTAATAATTATGCACACCTGATATAGGGTGTTGATGTCATTAGACCACACCCCTTCTCATTACAGAGATGCACATCACCTAATATGCTTAATTGGTAGTAGGCTTTCGAGTCTATACAGCTTGGAGTAAGACAACATGCATGAAGAGGATGATGTGGACAAAATACTCATTTGCCTAATAATTCTACACTCCCTGTAGTTCAGCTGGTTGTGACTTATCACACAGCAACAAATATACATTTCCACCCACATTTTTATTTAAATCTTTTAATACATTAACTGATGGCTTTAAGATACATGGCTTATTATTGTCTCCACAACAAAATAGTTGTCCTATTAGTTTTAAGTGTGTTTTGTTGACTCAAGCTTTTGTAAGAAATACCTTAAAGGTGTGGATCTCTGAAAATCCATTTTTAATTATTATTTCTAACTACAATCGGTCACTCTGAGTTTTTCTTGCAGGCTGAACATGAAAATAGTCTCCTACACCCATCTCCTGCATTAGTTTTATGATAGAAAATAGACGGTGAAACGCTACGATTAGAAAACCCAGACAGATCGACGCCACACTGTCACTTAACATTCATGGACTCACCCATCTTGACTCACGAGGGGGAAGGCTGTTGTTGGTTTAGCACCCAGGAAACTGCAGAGAATGTCTACTAGTAAAGTTAACAATTAGCATTAGCAACTCCACCACATAGCAGAGCTCCTCCAGGCTTGTGTTATTTGTGGAGATAACACATCAACGTTGAATGTTGACAGCAACAAATATACATTTCCACCCACATTTTTATTTAAATCTTTTAATACATTAACTGGTGGCTTTAAGATACATGGCTTATTATTGTCTCCACATCAAAATAGTTGTCTTATTGGTTTTAAGTATGTTTTGTTGACTCAAGCTTTTGTAATTGTTTTAATTACAGTTAGCATTAGCAACTCCACCACATAGCAGAGCTCCTCCAGGCTTGTGTTATTTGTGGAGATAACACATCAACGTTGAAGGTCAGTGGTAGAGTTGCATTGCTATTATTTAATCTGAGGCAAGATGTCCAAAGATCAGGAAATAAGACTCCAAAATCTGCCATCTGAAGCTCAGCTGTGATGTGGGTAACTGCTTGTTCCTGGAAATGGTGCACCGGTATATTCCCCTCAACCAACTTACAAGGCGTTCATTCCTACTAGTGGCCATTGCAAATGTATTGAGTAAGCGAGTGACTCACACCTTTAAAGTATTTTTAATGCTATCTTTTTTTAAAGCTTCACCCTGGATCTAAAGCGTTAGATTAGATTCTCCTCACAGCAGCATTAGTGTTAAATGTGATAATCATGTAAATATGTTTTCACAATTTCTTCACAGGTTTCAAGATTTAGTCATCAATAGAAGCAGACTGATTAAAGGTACTTTGATTACTACAAATCATTTTATGTGTTTATTTTAAAGCAGAAAAGCGGTCAGAGGAAATACCAGGTGAACCTGCGGAGCCATTCAGCTCCCATCCAAGTGACACTTATGAGCCGAGGTTCAGACAGCGTACCAGTGGTCCTTCCTCTACCACCCACTGATGATATCTGCCTGATGCCAACTCCACCCAGCACCCCCGCCAGTCTGCAGAGGTTACCCCTCTTAAACTCTGCTTGCTCCACATCCACCACCACCCCTCTGTACTGCAGCCAGGACTCAATCTGCTCAGACCACCAGATGGTGCTGCTAGACCTCGATGAAGTGCTGACAGCAGCAGCCACCTCTGGTGATGATGAGGAAATGGGTAAGAATAGAGGTAATTCAATGTTTTAAATATCTCGTTCAACCACCATGTTGAGTTTTAGTGACATTCAGAAGCAGTAACAGAATTTACTGAACTGATATTTGAGTTCACATTTAGAATCCAGTTGTTTTTGCAGAGTTGGATACACAAATTATGTTAACTGCACAATTTTAGTAGCTTGTTTAAAGGAATGTTCTCAGTACTTTTAGGCAGTAGTTTAAGTTTTTAAATATGGGTCTTTTAGGTGAAATGTTCCTGGACAAGGTTGCTGACCACAATTTGCAATTTCTTTTCCCACTAGACGTGACGTACAGATCATTTTTATGTTAAGGTTTAAGAGTAAAATGCTCTAGTTTCCTACTTGTGCAAAATTGTTGATTTTTAGAAAGAAAAAAGGTCCATTTAAATGTACTGTTGCTTTTATTCTGTTGGCTGGAGATGTCTTTCAAGTTGGGAATTGACCACAAACAGGAAAACATATGTATCTTGAGAGGTGTGTTATATAACACACCACAAACAAGAAATTAAATCCATAATGAAAACAAACAGCAGAGAGCTTTTAATTAAATGAATCATTCTTCATTACGCTTCTCTTCTAGCGCGTGTTTCACCAGTTGCAACATGCTGCAGTAGCTCTTGAGTTGTCGTTTTAGATTTGAGCTGACTTTCTTCTGTCTGCCTGCTTTATGTTTTCAGTTTTTGTTTTGTCTTATGCAGTAATGTCTGATGACGAAGCAGCTTGAACAACTGTAAAAGACAAACAGGTCACTGAGATTAAAGGAAGTTTTGTGTTTCTGTATCTTGGAACTACAGGGGGAAAAAGCTCTGCCGGTCACATTATCAGAAGCCGGGCGTACACTGTGCGACATTTTCACTTTTTTGAGCCGATTTTCCACTCCTGCGAGAATCCACAAGATCGGGGCGAGTTTTGCGCTGAGCATCGTGTAGTGTACAGGGGGTTACGAGAGGCAATTAACACCACCTGACCAGCTACCGATCACCAATCGTGAGCTCGCATGGACTACTGGAGTGTTTGATATTTTGCTCGTTCCTCGTGAGGGTTGAAGAGGCACAGAGAGTGGCTGCAACCCAAAAAGTACCAGAACCGCTCACGGCGCAATCATGCGTCAACACCACTCACCTGCTATTTCCCTAATAACACACGTTGTTCGTTTTTATTTCTATACGTCTTTTACACACAGTCACAATGGTTGTCAAGAAAGCGTGTTTGTCGTGTTCATGTCAAATTAAACTGATCACAAAACACAGATTTACTTTCTTTATTTCGTTTTCCTCATCCAACCCCCATAAATCCCTGTGTGTCCTGCAGCACTCCCGAAGGACAACAGGCAAAACAACAACAAAAAAAATAGTCCGACGTGTTGTGTAAAAACTGCAATTTTTGGCATATTTTTAGGTCCGACGTGTTGCTACCGTTAGACGTACAGTGTGAGCAGTCAGGTCGCATCCGAAAACTGGGTCGTACAGTGTGAGCACTTGACTCGTGAGATGTGCTGTGCGAGGAAGTCGTACAGTCTGAGCTGAAGCTGAGTGCTACGAGTGAAAAAGTCGCAGTGTCCGCCCGGCTTAAGCAGTTTCAGTGAGCCAAATCTGATGAGTCAGAACATCAAACAGATTCATGGTTGTGACACAGCAACCCAACCAACAGTTAGCATTAGATGGTTATCACCAAATGATCCGTTTAGCTTTGCTTTCCCAACGGCAGCTGTTTTAATTCGGATTTCTTTAGTTGTTTTCTATGCATACATGATTAGAGTCTGCACTAACAGTGTCTCATGTTTCAGTTTAATTAGGATAATGTCCAACGAATATGCTTCTATAGTTTCCTGCATTAAAATTTAAGTTCCATTAGTTGTCACACTGATGTGTGAAATTTATTCTTTGCATCTGACCCATTCCATGGGGGAGCGGTGAGCTGCAGACACAGCTGTACTCGGGAACTATTTGGTAGTTTAAACCCCCCATCCAAGCCTCTTGATGCTGAGAGTCAAACAGGCAGGCTTTGGGTCACATTATTTGAAAGTGACATTTTATTACAAAAAATAACTTCTTTGTTCAACCCTCAGTTTTAAATTGGAAAGGTTTCTTCTGCAAATTAGTCAATTTTCTCTAGATAGTGTAAATATGACTGAAAATGTGAGCCTCACTTCCTTTGAGAATCCTGCCATGAGAACGAATGAAACGGTTTATATTTGTCCCAGAGTTGGAGACAAACCACTTCCATATTCTGTAAATAGCTGATCAGAAAAGGAATGGTTAGTGTTTTAATAATTGTTTTAAGATTTGGTGAAACTTGGAAATTACGAGTAGTGATGATGTCCAAGTGAAACTCAGACAATTTTACTGAAAAAAACCTAGGAATTAACAGAAAACATGCTTTTTTTTCCTGTTACACTATACTGTTCTAGAAACGACTACTAGTAGTTTAGCATGTGAGATGGTCCTCATTCTACGCAGCTCACAGTGAGCTGTGAACTATTTGCTATTGGCAGTGACATTATAGCTCTAAGAAAGTAAACAAATACAGTTCCGATACAGTTTTTTTGCTCCAGATGTCTGAACCTTTCGTTATTGTTGTTTAATGTCTCATGCTTTCTGCAGATTGTCACTTGCAGCCAGGAGCCATGTTGGAGCAGCATCAGATAGACCTGACAGATCCTGATCTCCAGACGATGCTGGATGTTGGCAACCTGCTGAAGCTCAGCAGCCCTGGAGACCACGTGGAGGATGATCAAGAAGGTGAGCCACAAGCCTACTGAACTTAAGCTCAGAGGTGGTGTGGCGTGGATTAGGATTGCTCCAAAACCTCTTCTTAAAAACCTTGAGCGTTTAAAAAATTGGTTTCCCACATCAGCTATTAGTGGTCCTAAAATAATTTTATGGTTGATTGGTGTTACACTAGTCTAGTGAAAGATGATCATTTCATACACCCATATGATGGTGTACACCAATCGCTGTACAATTTAATTTCAGATATTAGCCAGAGGCAAATTTCCTTTCACTGGCATGTGTAAAAAAAATGTTCTAAAACCTTATTTTTGGATTTCCAGGGCTGGAGTTTTAAGAAAATCTGATGTTTTTAAATAGCATGGCAAAAATAAGATAGCTTCTGGTCAGAGCACTACCCAGATGCTTACGTAATACCAAGAACCTCTCCCAGGAAGCGAATGTAAACAATACGTAGCTCCGTTTTTTTTTTTTTTTTTGTGTGTTAGCATTATGGCAACCAACAATGTTTCATCAGAGTCCGATGTAGCATCTGAAACCTCTGCTAGCCGGTCAAATTGTTTTTCTTTGGAAAATGACGAGGAGAATGGATATCGGGAGAGCCCCGAAGGGGCTTGACATGGATTAGCCGCAAGCTGGTTAGCCGACGAGGCAAACACACAACTGGACATGTTCAGACTCAGACAAGATGCAAGTCAATCTGGAGTGCTGATGGCAAAGTCGATGTGGAAGGATGGCGAACGTCTTCAGAACCTGTCGGTACCGTTTATTTACTTTTATTGTGTCCGTGTTTTGTTTCTGTGTTGTGGACGAGCAAATTCACCGCATTCAGAGCGACTGCATCACACTCTGGCAGTATATTTCAGTTATCTACAGAAAAATAAACTATTTACTCTTAGTTTTATCACTGAATGTACATTTTGAAATCATTTTGTAAAAACAATAATCGATAGCTTACCAGAATACCTTCGCTTTTCCTGATTGGCTCAGCTAGTAGTAATCCAAGAGGGACTGTGGTCTGAGACGACACTTTGCGATCAAGCCAGCCGACGCTGGAGCTCTGCCGGTCTCGGGTGGATAAATTGTCGGAACATGTGGATCATCTTTTAGATCCAACCTTTGAGCGTGCCGTGGCTTTCACAAATGACTTTTTCTTTCTTTACTGGAGCTAACACCCTTTAAGCGTGCTGCTCCAGTCATGCTCCCAGCTATCTATGATCCTCCTTACAAACCGTTTCTCGGTGACTTTACTTTTGCTATGCTAGAAATGTGTATAGGACTTGAACTAGGGCTGGGCGATATGACGATTTTAGACCGTTTTACGATCTACACATCTGACGGTCTGTCATTTTTGAGAGACCGATTTATCACGATTCACAGCTCTGCTGTTGAATTTCTGCCTCTGAATGAAAAGGGAACTTACCCCAGGCGAATGACACGCCTTTGTTTGACCCTTAACCAATCAGAGTGAGTCATAGTAATATATTAGTGCCCCGCTTGTTTTCACCTGTGTGTGAACAAACATGGCTTCGCCGCGGCTGAGCGACAACGAGGTTTTCGTTCCGAAGAGGAACGCAGGGTTTCCTTAGCGCGCGGCGCTAACAACTTAGCGACGTGACATGTCTCGGAGAAAGCGTAAAATCACGTTGGATGCTTCTTCTGAAGCAGGAAAATAACACCGCTTGCAGAGAACGACGTCGCCTCGGCTCGTCCACCCTCTGCCGAGCCGGTGTCGGTACCGGACTGAGCTCGGTCACTGGGTCGTTGGAGCTGCCCCATGACTGCCTGATGGAAAACCAGCGGGTTTCATCAGACTCGTAGTTTCTTGTTTTTGCTGGGGGACCCCCTGTATTTTACCGCTCCCTCCTGCAGTCTTCCCCTATTAACATTTAAAATGATTCTGTAAATCCGTGTATCAATAGAAACAATCTCTGCCTCTGCCAGCTGCAGTAAATGTAGTCTCCAAATAATAAGACGTGCATTCATCTGTGTATCTCCTTTGACCCGCATTAGTGATATTCTCAGCACCAGAACAGTGAAGCAAAGAAAGATTCCTGAGTTTGTTAGTAATTTTATTTATTAGGTGCATCTAACCTGTTCTATTTTTCTCTGAAATGAGATCAAATCAGTGCTTCTATGGGTTGTCTCCAATCTGCACTGGAAAATTTTACTTTATTTAGAGACTTGTTGCAGAAAATATTCAGAATGCGCAGTTTTTTGCTACCACAAGCGATCTCTGGTCCAGCCGCACATCAGAGCCGTATTTGAGCTTAACTATCCACTACATGAGCAACTGGGAGCTACATAGTATTTTGAACAAGTTAATGTTTGCACAATACGTTTGCAATTGACATGTTTGCACTTTAAATATGTTTACGATTTTAATTTATGTTAAGTTACTTGAAAAACGAGAAAAACTGATTTTTGTAATTGTTTCTCTCAGGGCTTTTATCATCTCTGGTGTGAGTTTAAAATATAAGTGTGTTAGCACTGTGCTGATTATCCCTAATATGAATAAATGTTTATTTATTCAATGTTTCTCTTCTTTAATACGCAATTGAAGTTATGCTATTCATGGATAAAAAATCGTGATAAAATCGAAATCGTGATAAAATATTGGAAAAATCGTGATATTCTATTTTTGCCATATCGCCCAGCCCTAACTCGAACATATGGTCCAGACTTTTTGCTGCAGCTGTAAACCTGATTATCCGTAACCACTGAGAGCTCGAAGTTGAACAAAATAGAGCTAAGTAGCTGCAGTAGCTTCCCGGTAAGACGTTTTCGAGTGATGTATGCACAGCACAGTTCTTTACTTATTATAGGAGAGAATTTTGATTTTCTATAAGGATTTGTGACAAAATTGTTAAACAAAATGAAAAACTGAATACAGTTTATCCTTATATAGATGGTAAACTTCATTGCTACAAATTTCATGTAGTCTGGCCAATGCCTTTAAAACACATTTTCCATTTCTCTTCAGGAGCTGTTGACCTAATTGATGAGCTGATGTCTGCTAATGGTGAGCAACCCAACAGCTGGTTATATTTCAACACAGGGCAGAATGATGCTGAGGCTGTTTTCTCAGGTTGAAACATTAAATAAAAATAACTAAAGTTCCTGCCACAGTTTAAATAGTGGAAATTACAGCCAGTGTACATGCATTCTTAATCAACTCCAAGGTGTGCTTCAGTAGATGTTTCTGAGGGATACTAAGCTGTTCTGTCAAATGTGAACAATTATTGATAAATAGGAGGTAACAGTAGCTCAGGGGAAGAGTGTTGTTGTTCAGTAATTGGAGGGCGGCCGGATCGACCCCAGCTCCCTCCAGGGAATTCTACTGTTATGTCCCTGGGCAAGAAACTTTAACCGTGCTGCTCCAGTCATGCTCCCAGCTATCTATGATCCTCCTTACAAACCGTTTCTCAGAGACTTTGGTGGCACATGTGTAACATCCAGCAATGGTCAGTTTTTAGGTACAGTTTGACCATTCAACATCTATTCAACATCTGGTCAAAAAGGAGACACAAGACTGCATGTGTTCCCTTTAAATTGGCTTGCCTTCATCCCATCAGCTGGAGCTCAGAGCCTGCAGCTCTAAACACAGATTACGAAATGTCAACAATAACATTCTCTCCTCAAGGTCCAATCTTTCAGGTCTTCATGCCTCCATATAAGGAACACTCCAGCTCAGATTAGTTGCTAAGTCAAAGAATGATTTCCTAAATCAATATGAACTTCTTCTACAACTTACAAGCAAAATAATCATTAAATAAACGTTTGTTTATTGCTACTTATAATAATTATAATATAATGAAATGTTTCATTAATCTGTGCTCAATGATTGAAGTGTGAAATGAATGCTATGTTATGTTGTTTACATGGCAAGGTCATCACCATTTGCACTCACACAAGGACAAAGTATGGTAAAGTTAAACTCTGACACATACATAGTCTTTTACCCTAGTCAGAGCCTCCATATCAAAGAAGGCGTGTTTCTGAGGTTGTCTTGGTAACCATTCCTCAACTTGTCAACCTTTGGTTGGCTACGGAAATCATAGCATGAGATCCTTAAAACTGGATCACTCTGGGTGATTCAGCGGTTCTAAAGAGAGTTTCAGACCAGCCACCTGAAGCAACACCTCTTTAACCATCAAAGCTTTTGACACGTCGTCAAAACCTTTTTGCACCTGCGAAGCTGATACCGCAACAGTTCCTGCAGAACGAGCTGATATTGTTTAGACTCCTTCAGAGTCCCAGACGCGCGGTACCATCCGACTGTTGTGACCTGGAGACAACTCTAAGACCAGTTTAGTGGGGCCGCAGTTTCATCTACGGACCTCGGTGCCTGGAAGTCCGAGGACTTTGACATTCTGGATCCACCAAGAGGGTCTCCGAGAATGGGTGAAGTAGACATGACAGATAGCGTCTGATGTGTTTTGATAATAATCAACTTCATAGCTTAACGCAAACCAAATTCTTTTGCATCCAGAACTCAGCTCTCCTAGATAAGGAAGTTCATCATCACAGTAAATGCTTAGTGAACTTGTCATGTTTTAATTGTTGGTAAAATAAATTCTTACTTTTATAAACCTGACTCTTTTCTGAATCAAAACGAAGTGTGTACAATCCCCTAATAAATAAAGAATCCTAGAATCTTCTGATTAAACACAATAAAAGACCATGCAGAGTTGAGATTCAATATTTAGATAGAGAATCACAGCTTATTGGTCATAAGTAGAGGTAATATATTTATTGGGCTCTTAAAGCACTCAATTTCCTAAACCCTACACGTGTACGCACCGCAGCCACACATCTGCAAGTAAGCCCTAGAGGAGCTGTGGCTACACTGTATCTCATTACTACCAGTGTGTGTGTGTGTGTGTGTGTGTATGAATGGATGAGGGATTCACTGTAGTGTAAAGGGCTAGATGCTTCTGACTCAAAGTTGCGATACATGTACTGGTCATTTATCATTATTAGGCAAATGCTAAAAAATAACACAGTGCCTTAAGATGGTGTAGAGTCAGACCTATTTCTCAGGAGAACCTTTACAACATCTTTTGATGGCAAAGACATGTTTTTGCATTCCTACAGACCTAGCTGATAGCTTTTGATAATTTCCTCATTCAATATTGTATCATTGCTGTTAAAACTAGACATTTTGTGACAAACTAAATAATTTTTCCCTTTAAATGAAGATTTACCCCGATCTGCCCCTTCTTGTAAATGTGTGCGTCACAAACATGAACTCCTGAAATTTTAGGGAGTGAATGAAAACAATGTGGTTTGGACTTTTTCAGCAGTTGCTGTTCACACGTAAACTTTGGTGCCGGAGACGAGCTCTCACAGCTGGAAATACAAGAGTGGGTGGAGGGGTCTGACAACAAAGATGGATGGACCTTTTTAATGACCATTTTATCATCAGTAGTACCACGTGTGTCCAAATCAGTGATATACGATCATACCAACCGTAAACGGGTCTGATGAACTGAAAATAAACTCACACAACGTCTGCTACATTATAAAATAATCATGATGATCCAAAGCTTCTCTCTGGAAAATGTTGGGTACATGTCTGGAGTGAATACTCCACTCCTCGTCTGGAATGTTTTTCCAAAATGTAGGTCTGCAGAGCAGGTGTGATAACAGCCTCCCTGGAGCCACACAAATAACTGAAACTTTAGAGTGTGTGTTTGTGTGTGTGTGCATGCTTTAATGATAGACATGCTTTTCTAGTACCCTAACTGACTGTTTCCACTTACAGGTGTTGACTACAGCTTCAATCTGGACGACAGTGAGGGAGTGAGCGACCTGTTTGACGTGCAGATCCTTAATTACTGATCTCAGATTGAAGCTCCGAGAAACTGTTCTTTTTGCCCAAAAGACCCAAATAAATTGGCATTTTTACTATTTAGTTGTAATTGCACAACTAATACCTTACATTGTAGCCTTTTAATAAAAACAAAACCAGAACAGAACAAAACAACAATGCCCACAACACCCGTAGTCTGCACAGCTGTACATCAGACATCCTATACATTCAGTTTACAACACTGGCCTACTGCCAAAAAAAAAAAAAAATTACCCAAGTCCTTAAATATCTGCTATTTATTTATTTATATGGTATTGATATTTTAATGGTTTTCTAGGTAAACACAGCACAGCACAGATGAGATGAATAAGAGGAAAGAAGCAAAAACTCTTTACCAAAAGATTTTTCACAGGGTTTGTGAGTTTGATCACAGGTTTCATAGTTTTGTTCTACCTACATTAAATGAGTAAATATTTTATTCTTGGAAAAAAACAAATTTTATTTATGTATATAATTCACACTGCCACTAAAGGCCTTGCTTTTTTTTAAAATCACAGTTGTATTTTATATAACGACATTTCATATTTAAAAAAGGTTCTAGTTCTTTTTATTGATTGTGAGTAATATTTCATATTTCTAATGAGTAATATAAACCCTGAATGGCACATTTTGTTCATTTAAATGAAGTTGTTTTTGTTGCACATAAGATAGTTTTCATACAATTGCTTTAAAGAAATTTTCCAACTCAAAAAGCAGCACAGTTTAAGGGAAAAAAGTATTTGTTTGTGAATCTGTGAAATTATACAGATGGCACTGTTTATGATAAATTACCCAACATTTAACAATGAATTGAAACTTTTTCTTCTGCTTCTCTCTTTTTTTTTTTGGCTGAGCAAAGTGTTTTGCTGTCACTGCAGCAGATGCCGAACCTCAGTCAGATGTTTTCCACATGAGAGCACAAGGAAAGAATGACCTGAAGAAAAAAAAAAACTTGATCTGAATCAGCTGGGAAACAGAAACCCAGACAGAAATCTCTGAATCTCATTAATGAGGAGTTGGTTTATACTTTCTTTTTTATTTATTTATGTTACTGTATATGTGTCTGTTAATGTTCTCAAACATGGAGGAAATCAAACATTTAAGTGTTGTGCTCTTTACAGTTCAGCCACACATTGATTTATTATCATAGTTTTAAAAAGTTTGCAGTGACAAAATGTTAGATATGATTATCCTGTTATTAAAGTGTCTTTCAGTTTGCTTGCTGTGTGTGTGTGTGTGTGTGTGTGTGTGTGTGTGTACAGTTATTTAGATGTTCAGAGGAATTCAGGAAATGAGAACTGTGTGTTTTTTGTCCACAATAAACAGTTCAATCCCTCGGGATATCAAAGTTCCCTGAAGAATTTTTGGTTGCATTTTTTTTATCTTTTAATCTTCTGAAAGTTAGACTCATGCCCAGCTAAAAAATGAAACCCAACTCTAAAGGCAAGAACCAGAAGAATACTAAAGACCACTTTGCTCGGTCGGACTCACAGTAAAGGAATGTGTGTCTAGATAGCATATTTGTAACATCAAGGAGATCGGCTGTATTTGTTCACTTGATAATAATTAAAACCAGCGTTTAATTATCAGAGTTTTTCTAAATGAGCAGAAAAAAACTTGTCTTTGTTATTGGGAGTCTAAAGTTCAAGACTTGTGCACGTTGGGCTGTGTGAGCAGAGATTAACATTTTCTATGAGATCCAAGACAAATATCTGTTGGTCATATCAGAATTACCTACAAACAGTTCAGTTAAAGTTTTTAAACTGTTTCAGTTAAGACAAGGTTCAGAAAATACCTGCCAATTTTTTATTTTATTTTAAGCAGCACAATTTAAGAGATGAATAGGAGCCACTCAGATTAAATACATTTTACACAGGAGTGTTACTGTTAAGAAAACAATAGAGGGAGTGCTGAAATTAAAATGGACATGTTCAGACAAAAGTAAAAACAAAACTAGTTTAACAGAAAAACAGTATTAAAAATAAATCCAAATGCTTCAGATATTTAATGGTATGGCCATGAGTCACAAGCAGCTTTATTGTCATTGCATCAGCGTGCTAGAACAAAGAAATTTGACTCCACAGCACAACCTTACCAAGAATAAACACACGACACAAAACAGGTACAGGCAGGACAGAAGCGCAGCCATACATGGCACTCAGCTTGAGACTCTTATTGTAAAGTTTGAAAGGAAAGTCTGTTATGGAAGTCAGAATATATAATAATAAATACATGGGTTATTTCTTCTGGAAATAATAAAAAAAATCTCAAGATTTCAACTTAATTCTAGAAATAATCTATCGGCTCATTTCTTATCAACATATCTTTATTGACATTTGAAATTTATCCTAGACACCTTAACTTTTTTTAATGCAATACCAATGTGCAGTTGTTCATTTAAATTGTTTAACTTTTTATTCCTTTAAAGATGTGCTTCACTTATTTAATCCATACGTTTCCAGTTTCAGTGGTCTCTTGTAGAATGAATGCCGTGTAAGTCATACTCTGGGGAAAAAAGTTCAAGTGCACCAGTTTCAGGAACTAGAACAAATTGCCACATCAGTGTTGAGCTTCAAACGGCAGGATTTGGACTTTTATTCCCTGATATTTGGACATCTCACCTTGGATTGGAGAACAGTAAACACGACTCTACTGCTGACTCTGTTTGCTCTGCTACGTTGATGTTTTCTCTCCACAAATGACACAAGTCTGAAAGAGTTCTGCCGTGTGGTGGAGTTGCTAATGCTAACAGTTAGCTTCTACTAGCCGAGACATTCTTTGCTGTTTGCTGGACGTTAAATCAACAACAGTCATCCTCCTTGCAAGATGGGTGAGTTCATGAATGTTAAGTGAGAGTGAGACGTAGATCTGTCAGGATTTTCAAATTTTAGCATTTCATCATCTATTTTCTATCAAGCTAATGCAGGAAATGGTAGGACACGATTTTCACATTCAGCCTGCATGAAAAACTCAGAATACTTGATTATAAACAGAAATAATAATTAAAATTAGGTTTTTCAGTGAAGTTGACCTTTAATAGTACAAATTACATCATAATCTAATTACTGCGCCACAGAAGGGAAAAAAAGCAATTTACATTTTTATTTAAAATAAATGCTTACGGATTAAAGGGAAAAAATACATTTATTTCAAACATTTTTGCAGAAAATGTACATTTTCAACTAAACATTTTTCATTGAAGAACAAAAGGCTTTTTAAGAGCACATTATAAAGTGATGCATAAAAAACAATTGTATTTGTAAACTAGAAGTACATGTGTAAAGTAATATAAAAGGGTTTTTCCATAAATTATCCATGCTATTCCACTGTGATGAACAATTATTTAGAATAACTCATATTGAGAAGGTGTTTGTCTCTTCATTGTGGGAGCTAAAGGACATGCCAATTCCCTCCTCTGCCGGAGTTTCTTTTGTCCTTTTCCTTCTCCCTTCTCCAAACTTTTTAGCCGCTTTCATCATGTGCTGCTTGAAGGAAGACCCCATGAAAGCGTAAAGGACGGGGTTGATGCAGCAGTGAGTGAGAGCCAGACATTCTGTCACCTGAGCTGCCTGATCCAGCACTTTGCTCGTTCCACAGTGGGTCACTAATGTGTACACTGAATCCATTGCACGGTACACCTTCAACACATTATATGGCAGCTGGGTGATGACAAACACCCCTACTGCTATTAGAAGAACACGTAGAGCTCTCCACTTCTTGCCTCTGCTCTCAACAGGAAGGTCTTTTAGCACTTTGCCCATGCTCCAGTAACAGATCACCATAACCAGCAGAGGAAGCAGGAACCCCAGAAGGACCTCGACCACCTCCAGCATGGCGTTACCTCCTTGAGCCATGGATGGTGGATAGATGGCAAGGCACACATTCCTGGTGGAAGCTTTAATCACTTCTGAGAAGATTAAATCAGGAAGACCAAGAAGGAAGGCAGTCACCCAGACAGCTGAGCACCACTTCCAGCAGTGTTTCCTAATGAAAAGCCTCTGCAGCTGCCCTCTCTGGGCTCTACCCTGCACTCTGGCTAATGCCAAGTAACGATCTAAACTGATGCAAGCAAGTAGCAACATGCAGCAGGTGAAGTTTAGCGTATAACAGCCCGACACAACCTTACAGACGATGTCCCCCAGCTGCCAGCCTCTAGCAGCATCAGCAGCCCAGAAAGGCAGCGTGAGGAGCAGCAGCAAGTCAGCCACAGCCAGGTGGCTCAGGAAGGCATCTGTCATGGTCTTTAGGCGTTTGTGATAGACGTAGACGGCCAGAACTAGTATGTTTCCTGCCAGTCCTGCAACCAGACATACGCTGTACATGATAGGGAGGAAGAAGGCTGCGAAAGAACGGATGTCTCCCTTCTCGCAGACGGAGGGATAGTCATCATAACTGATGTTGAAGGAAGCATTTTCATAGTAGTAGTAGTCGTCGTCCTCGACGACAGCCATGGTTGTCTGATAAAGTTGTAAAAGAGCACATCTTCTATTAATAATCTTCAATGTTTACAGTTTTTGCAACAGCACTTCAATAACATGGCAATAACATAGATGTAAAAACTGCATGATGCTCCAAATGTGACAATACCACATGTGTATTTAGAGAAAAATAGGGAATATTTCATAAATTTAACTAAAAATCAGCTTTAACATTTATTGAAATTTAAACTATTTGTGTCCATTTGTTTAATTTATCAGATTTTGAAAAGCTACGTAGCTTCTTGTTAAGAAGACTCAACACCCTTAATGACTAAATTCCAGCAAAATGACTGTGAACAACAAAAAGTAAAGAAAAGGGAGATGGAGAAATAACCCTGACGCTGGTTGCTGGGTTGAAGTTAAGTGTTGTCACATGTTCTAACAGTGACTGATTAAGGATTGTGGAATTTCACAGAATTTTGGTGGAGTCCAGTTATATTTTTTGCCTGAAAAACCAGGTTTTCAAATGTTTTAACTCAAAATAAGCTTGTGTCTATAAGTTTATTTTAGTGCTTGAAGCACAGAACACAATGTAAACAACCGGAAATTTCTAGGTTATCCATTTGGATTGTGGGAATTTATGCAAATCCCAAATAGCATTTTAGTAGAAATAATGACTTCAGCCTTTAAATTAGTATTTTTCTAATCCTGAATTGCATAAAAATATTTGAAAAAGTGACTATATCAACAAGTGAATTAAGACAGGAAATGGGAATATCAGTAAATATCCTTCATTAGAAACTGGCAAAGATAAATTGTAGTTTATTCCCACGATTTCTGAAACTAAAACCAAGTTTAGATTAAATAAATGTTCTTAGTTTAATAAAACAGATGTAAACATCACTGCTGACAGCAGAGCAGAAGAAACCCAGTTGGACAAACAGACTTTATTCTGGTTTGTTGATAATATTGTTATCTGAAAAAGAGTTTAGGTAAATAATTGAATCTTTTTATTATTTGCTCACGATGTCCTGACCTGAACTCTTCTTCTGGTTTTTACCTTCACTGATGAATAATGTGAGCTCATCCTCCTTGCAGAGCGATAAGAGCAAAGTCCAGGATTAGTTTCCACAAGTAGGAACCTGATTTAAATAAATCCCTAAAATTCCTCAGGACATGTCTCTCCTACTCATAAAATTTTACCTCATGTTAAATTTTAAGAGAGAGAATACATTTCTAACTGATTATTATGATTTGTTTCATGTGAAAACGGTTACGAAAACGGGGGGAAAAAAACGTTAAATAAGAACTGCAGCATGGAATTAGAGAAACGACACTGCAAGAACACACCTAAGATGTTCAAAGGGGAAAAAAACGTATTTTTGCAGTTTAATAAGCTCACTTATAGCCTGAAAAGTCTCATCTTATAATTAAACTTAGCAGATGAACTGCTAAATTTATCCATATCAGAAAAAATATCCAATTTTTATTTTGTTTTGTTAAACGTAGAATATTAGAAAGCACAATTATCTCAGTGTGAGGCATACAAGAATATATATATATATATATATATATATATATATATATATATATATATATATATATATACATATATATAAAATCTAATGAAAATAGTGCATTGCACACTAGTGCAGAGATATTTATTGCATTGGTTTTGTTAGGTTCTCTATTGCACACTGGGAAAAGGAAAAAAGGGAATTGTAATAGGAATTTTGGGCCATGGTGGCTCTAAAAAACAATTTATAAGGCATTTCCTTCTGTTTCACATTGCCTTGTATCTCTTGCCTGATGGCAGCAGCTGGAAGAGGCAAAAATTGGTGTGTGATGTGTCTTTTGAGAGGATTGCTGCTTTTTATTCTGGCATTGTGAGGAATAAAATAATTTTAAAGTGTGAATGGTAAGGTACATTAAGCTTAACCTGGAAAAGCAAACTGTGCTAAATAAAAAAAGGAAGCGCACACAAAATCTGATTGATTCTGTCATGTCATTGTCGCATGCAGTCAAGATAAACAGATGTCTGCTTTCACACCATCTGAGATGCATCACATTGTAGGTAATTTATTCAGACATTGAAGCATGATGGTGTGATGGAGTGCTGCATCACATGATTGTTACATTCTTCCAGGTAAATCTAAATGACATGGCTTATGCTGGGAAATTAAATGGGTCAGGAACAGCACAGCATGTTAGAAAAGCTCAAACCCCCATGAAGTGGGCTGAAATAATTCAACTGTGCCACTGAAATCACATGATGTTTTAAAGCTGAAATCACAGATGAAAAGGTGCAAGACTAAGTAGATGAGAAATTCTGACCAAGGCTGAATGATGATTGGTATAAGCACGAGTCAAAGCAACTGAGCAGATCTTGCCAGGTATTCACTATCATCAAAATGTCAGTAATGTTGCTCCAAAAATTATGAGTGATGGACCAGCTAGGTTGTCAGGAGTGCTGGACTGACAGGAAACAGGAATATGGTAGGTTCAGTCCCTTAGACTAACTGAAATAACACAAATTGGTGATAAAAAAAAAGGATTTATTCAAAGTATGTGTGAATCAAAATGATGGAAAGTGATTATTATTGGTGTGGACAAAAGGCGCTGTAGACTGAGCTATTACAGCATGTAATTGTCCCAGACGTTTAAAAAAGGGAAGAATAAAAATCAAAGCTGTAGCCTACTGGCAGGATGTGTCTCATTTTCCTGCAACAATTTGTCAGAAGTGGTGATAGACATGAATCAGAACTTGGCTTGTTAACTTCCCACCAAACTTTAATTTCCTAAAATGATCTTAGCTGTTTTTTATATTTTGTAAATCATTACTTTAGATCAGTTTAGTTTACCTTTGCATTTATAAAAAAATGTGTAGCATTTATTTATAAATAAAAAATGTGCTGATTTAAAAAAGCACACAAACTTATAAGTGCAACTATAAACAATTTTATGGTGCTTTTTTTAAATATAAATAAAAAGTTGGTGATGCAAAAGTTCTGCTTCTTTATCAGAAATAATTTCTCTAATTCTAATATCTTTTATCTTATTGATTATTGCGTGGAAATGTGGACATTAGACTGTGGCTAAGTGTGAATACACATTAAACGTTTCTCATTGAGTTTATGACTAAACGTCAGATTAATAACTAACGAGTCAGGCAAAAGTTTTAGTTCATAAAAATATGTTGAATCAATACTCACTGTTTACAGCTGTCGTTCGCTGTGAGCGTCTGCGCTGATCCACTCAGACCAAAACCGGGCACGTTCAGGGGTTTCTTTGATTTGTGCACCACCGCGCCTCGAGTGGGCGGAGAGTGGGAAAAAAGCTGGTCGTCGAGATCTAGAGGCGGGTTAGCACAGTAAAACACGAAACACTATGTAAAATCCGAGCCCACAAGAAGCCCGAAGCAAAACGTCTTGTAAAGAAACACGTAGTTGAAACAGTGGCGTGTCCAGGCTTTTTAAAATGGGGTGGCCCAGGTGGGGCACTTGTTTATGCAGTGGTGGCACATGTTAGGGTTTTTCTTTAAATAAGTATGTTTGTAGAGGCAATAAAACCAGTTTTTGTATGAATCAGAAAATGTGTGAAATGTGGGTAAAGCTGCAACATGGACGTCACTAGGATTGAGATATAGGGGGGCTTAGCCCCAGGAGCTTGACCTTGAACATTTTTTGTCACACCCTGCAAAAACTGTCAATTAATTCATTATATGAAGAACATTTAACAAAACCTATTATTTTATCACTTTCGTTTCCTTTCCTACCTTTGTGCATTTTCTCTCTTCTTTTATTAAAAAATAACACTTAATCAGTTAATTAGTGGGGTCTATGTTGAAGAAAGATTTGATGTAAGTCCATTAAAAATTAGATATGTTATATTTCCAAATAAAGCTATTCATTTCAGTCTACTGCACTTAACAGGGGGAAATGATGTAGTTATTTATTGAATTTGTTTAATTACAACTTGTTTAATTATAAATGTTACTGAAATGTGACAATAAAGAACAAATGAATAACCAATATAGCCAATCAGACAGCTCTCCATTATGCAATCAAAGCATGTCCAGGAAATACTGCCAGGAAAATTGCACTTTTTTCAGATAAAGAGGACTTTATATAATTATATTTAATTAGGTTGATTAACCCTCCTCTTTTCCTGGGACATTTCCACTGTTCACTTCCTTTTACACATCAAGGGATCATTTATGTCTAACCAAACAGAGAAGAAACACTTTACATGTTGAAATTAAAAGCCCTCTTTAACTGAAAAGAGTGCAATTTAACAGTTTTAGGAATAGGCAATGTGTCTTTTCTGGAAGTCAAATATGGTCACCCTAATCATGACACATGAATTACAACAAAGTATCTTGCAGGCAGTGAATGGTGACTGGTAGCTAACCAGCAGCAGAAAGCAGTTCAATAAGCTGTTAAATGGGTGTTTTTCTGTAAAGCAGTGTTCCCTGGACATGCTTTGATTGGATAAAACAGAGCTGTCTGTGATTGACTGTTGGAGAGGCTACTTGTTGAAAGAAGGGAGAGATTTGCATGCGCAGAGACAGAGTTGAGCCCACAGAGAGGGCTGCAGCTGCTGCACACAAGCACAGAGCAGGTTCTGTTTGTGCAGACTCATTACTGTAGCTCAAGTTGGTGGCACTAAGTCACTCAATGAACTGGCTGACCCGTTAATCATGTCACTTCAGGGGAGTTTTCCGACCATTTTAATTGACATCAAAGCTTTTCATTATGGTTTGCGGCATGTAAACATGCTAGCGGAGTTAGCATTAGCATGTCGGTGCGGTAGCATTTTCCTCTCTCTGAAGTCTGAACTATAACCTTGAAATATTAACGGTGTGCTGCTGTTGCTGTCTTACCCTAATGTGATGTTCAGTGACTTACATGAGCGCTGAGCAGGGTTTGCTCATCGACATATAGGTTTTGCTGTATCGCCCCGCCCCCTGACTTGTCAACAAAGCTGCGGGAAGTGGAGGAAGTTCTTTCTTGATACTTCCTGTGTGCGACGGTGTAGTTCTATATTCATTAATTATTATTTCTGTTTCAGACTAAAAAAACTCATGTACCAACTACACATGTCGTGATTGTGTTGAGCATGTAGATGTGAACAAATAAAAAAAAGTTAACTGAAAAAAATAAAATAAAATAAACCAAAATGATAGGGGGGCTTGTGATTATTTTAGGGGGGCTGAAGCCCCCCTAAAACGGACCTAATGACGTCAGCGAGCTGCAATGACAAATTTGGAGAACAAATTAGCTTCAAACTTTATTTCATGCCATTTAATGATGTGTTAACCATTCCTGTTTCAGTCGCCTGACCATGGTCGGAACGGAAGACACAGGGGAGAATACCTCCAGGGCCGAAGTTGTCCTCTTCGGGGGTTAACCCCCCTTTCTGTTCCACAAGTTGCTGAATTAGTGGTGACACACTGCTGGAGACACATGGAGTTTGCTGAAGACTTCAGGTTTTTTTTTTTTTTGAAACGCACATCAACCCAACTTTTACAGACTGTTTTTCTGGTCGCTACCGCTTCCTTCTACGTCTACTCACTCACACCAGAGCACTCCCGCGCTCTCCCCTGCCCTCTGCGAATGCCGTTTTTCCCACACCCATCCTGACGTTCATCTCATGCACAAATCATGCCCGCACTATTCACATAGAGCTTCCAATCACAATTTAGCCAGTTAGACAAATCCTGTAACAGATGTTTTAACATACTATAGCTATAAATATATTGTGGAGATTAAAAAAAAGTGAACAAAGTTGTTCTCTCGCATTTGTTTATTAACCTCTACCAATCTTTCGTATGTTCTTGCCGTGTTTGTCTTCAAATTCCATTTTTCTTAAACACAGATAAGTTTTTTCTTTACCTTGCCGACGTTTCGTTTGCGGCTGCAAACATCTTCAGAGCTGACGCTGATGGTGGCGTCACTTCCTACACCGTTTGTCTGTGTTTATAAAAGAACCAAAAATGGAACCTCTACCAATAACATGTTTTGGACCAAAAGCAACTATTAGACCATCCGGTTATTGTTCTTGCAGAACCACGGCACTTCCACACTTTCCTGGGTCCTCCATTCATTACGCACTCACATATTTAGCAACAGAATACCACTAGTGTGAGATGTTTACAGCTCAACAACAAGAAGAAACAGCCAGCTGCTACCACTTCAACTTTAGGACAAACTACCAGAGTCTCATAAAGAAAAACACCATTTGAAGTCACGGACAACAAAAGACGTTAGGACCTAGAAAACAGTGACTGGTGTTTAGCGTTCTCTCGTTTCCCCTGGCATCATGGGTTTCAGTTAGGGAGAAGCATCTCAGGGAAGAGTGGTGTGCATCTCTACCTGCCTCACGATTCGAACCGATTCCGATTATCTGCCTAAAGATTCGATTTGAGTCTGAAATGCATCACGGTTCTTCACACAA